GAAGCTATCAAAGCTAAGCGACGGGGCATGCTCACTAAAGGAGTCCTGTTCCACCAAGACAATGCTCCTGTTCACAAATGGGTGGTTGCCATGTCAGCGATCCATGATTGTGGCTTCGAACTCATTGACCATCCCCCTTATTCACCCGATTTGGCCCCTTCAGACTTCCACCTGTTTCCCAAAATGAAAAAGGAACTACCCGGTCGCCATTTTCCTCGTAATGATGACGTCATTTCCGCTGTGAATGATTTCTTAGGGTGGCTGAAGAAAATTTCTTCTTGACCGGCGTCCAGGCCTTTCAGCATCGCTGGCAAAAGTGTGTAAACCTGGAAGGGGACTATGTGGAGAAATAAATGAAGACCATCGACTTGGTACGGGTCTTTCACAGTTAGGCTTAGAACTTTTCGGCCAGCCCTCGTATATTACAGACGCTGAGCCCAAGTGTCCTGAATAAACGGAAACACAGCTGTGTTACTTGACATCTAGCACAACACACAACAGTCCCAAGTTCACACGCCAAAGGTCCGGTTGCATTCTCCACATGGGTACAAAGTGTGAAGCCCATTTCTGGCGTACCGCGTGGTGATATTGCTGGAATATTGCTGGAACCAGCGTAAACCCATACTCACTAACTCATTCAAAGAGAACATGCGCGGCAGTAGATGTCAGTACCCAGGTGCTCCTGGTACAGAGTGAACGAGAAGAGGGATGACAAGATCTACTGGACGAGCAGAGATCTCAGAGGGGAGACGTCAAGGAACATCCACCTGATCGGTTGAATATCAGAAAATGGAATCAAAATATCCGTCGACGAATCAGTCAGGAATACAGGATTCACGTTTTCATGTTGATTTTTCGATGAAGCAATACGTGGGGGAAGGGCAAGCTGATAAAGTTGATATATTTCCTGTTTCCATGTATTATAGTCACATTACAGGATACAACACGGTTTACATATATTCAAGAAATTGTCCAAGTGTACGAGTTTGTTATTGGTCGGGAGATAAAACATGTAAAAGGTGAAGTTTAAGACGACAGCAGCCAGGTTAATTGTGGATGGGTGAACGACTGGCGAAAAGATTATAATGGGAAGCACGTGACAGGACGATTCTTCGTCGTTGACGTTGACGTAGTCGTTGGTGATGTGCAATCTTAGCCGACGCCACGACTGGCTGTTCACTCCGTCCTGCCTGTCGATGACCTTGGCCAGTCTTCCTGTTTGACCACGTGGGTGCAGATGTGTCATATAACGTACCATGGTGGAGATCTTGGTTAGAATTGGTTTTCAGCAACCCATGGTTGTCAGATCTGGCTGTCAGACTTGACGACTTGGTTGATGCATGTCATGGTATCCATATTCCGTTGATAGATACTCATGTTGTCAGTCACTGGATTGTTTGGTGCAAACTCTATGATTTGCATGCTGCTGTCATATAGCTGGAATATTGCCGAGTGCTATAAGTGGCGGTGGGGTAGTCCAGTCAATGAGAACTATGGCCGTAGGTTAGCCAAGTGGTTAAAGCGTTCCCTCGTCACTCCGAAGACCCGGGTTCGACTCCCCATAAGGGAACATTTTGTGAAGCCCATATCTGGTGTCCCCCGCCATGACATTGCTGGGATATTGCTAAACGCGGCGTAAAACAATACTCACTCACTCGGGCGCATTACTCGCGAAACCCTAAGTGTGTCCTCACTGTTGTCCATGATTGTATGTACCGTATTTCCTCTATTAGACGCCCGGGCTTCTAATTATTTCGGACAAGCCTTTGACCCGGCGTCAATAAGAGGCCCGGCTTCTATTAATACCCCCATTTTACTATGACCACGAATTTAGGTCCCAAAAAGGGATCATTAATTATATCAATTGATCGACCCGGCGTCTTTTAGAGGAAATTCGGTATGTATTACAGGTAGCCGTGGTTATTAGTGACATTAGTAGGCAATAGTGTTCTCTTCAAAACTCTAATTTGTAATTTCCATGCAAAATATCAGTATATGTAATGAGACCAGATCCCTCCGTTATGTGAATTAAGGTACAGGTTGTTTGTTTGTTTGTTGTTTAACGCCGCACTCAGCAATATTCCAGCTATATGACTGTGGTCTGTAAACAATCGAGCATCAATCCACGCAATTGGAATCGATCAACCAAGTCAGTGAGGCTGACCACCCGATCCCGTTAGTCGCCTTTTACTGCAAGCATGGGTTGCAGAAGACCTATTCTATCCCGGATCTTCACGGGTCAGAGGTACATGTGATACCTCGGGCAGCAATGCAGTTGTGATGGTGCATAGTTTCACTGTTAACCGCATACCGACAGACCCATAATATCAACTGATTCTCGAAGTGTCTGTAAGTTACAATTAGATTTTAAACAACAAATTCAAAACGTCAACGACAGAGACTAATCAGTCTCGAATATCTGCCTAATTAGATTCCAGTGGACGGAAAGGACAAACATTAAATTTTGTGAATAGATCGCTGGAAACCAGTGATGACACAGGGTGTTCGCGAAGAGGGTCAGCGTGACCTCTCTCCGCAGCAGTTACACAATTTTCATCTAAAATATTTGTTTGTTTGTTGCCCATGCCAACGCCACACCCAGTAATATCCAAGCCATATGACGACGGCCTATCCGGATCAGACAGTCCAGTGATTGATATTATGATCAATGATCCACGCCGTCAGGGTACGACGTCAGGTACATTTTGTTTGTTTGTTTGTTTGTTTAACGCCACACTCGCAGTCTATAGATAATCGAGTCCGGACAGGAAAATCCAGTGATTAATATCATGAGGTTGGTTGGTTGTTTGTTGTTTAACGCCGCACTCAGCAATATTCCAGCTATATGACGGCGGTCTGTAAATAATCGAGTCTGGACCAGACAATCCAGTGATTGACATCATGAGCATCGACCCACACTATTGGGATCGATGACATGTATCAACCAAGTCAGCGAGCCTGACCACCCGATTCCGTTAGTCGCCTTTTACGACAAGCATCGTCGCCTTTTACGGCAAGCATGGGTTGCTGAAGATCTATTCTACCCCGGAATCTTCACGGGTCTGACATCATGAGGTAGATCCTCGCAATTGGGATGCGATGACTTGCATCAAAGTCAGCGAGCCTGACCATCCGATCATGTTAGTCGCCTCTAACGACAAGCATAATCGCCTCTTACGGCAAGCAGCTGTTGCTGAAGACATATTCTAACCCAGATCTTCACGGTCGTACAGCTTGGTACAAAGGTTGCCATAATTTTGAAGATGTGGTATAAAAACATGGACATACGAACTTTATATTAAACTGTTGTGAACAGGTTGCATAAGAGATGTGAATTTAACTGAAGTAGGACTTACGCGAAACTACCGACTGATCTATTTGCGTCGTGACGTTAACACCCATTTCACCTCACCTCCGTGCATCCCTATCTTCAGTGCGTCACACACGCCTTTATAAACCTTTACACACTCTTCTATTAAGTGGTTTACACAGCCATCATTCGTTTATATTGTAGGGCGGGTTATAGGGTACACGTGAAAAGCCGTTTTAGATGTGCTTGATAACAACTGAATATCTCAAAAGTGTTTCAAATCTCAAAAACTGTTCTTGTGGTTGTCAATTTTAATTCGTATTTATCATATCGTAGACAAACTATCCTGGGATTGATCAATTGATCTCAGCATTTGGCATGACAAAAGTGTCCGACGCAGTTAATTGATCTGAAGATTTGAGAGTTCAATTGTCGTTGACTAACCTTCTATAGTTTTATGATAATCACATTTTCCTACACAGTGAATTGATCTAAATATTTGAAAGTTAAACTGTCATTGACTACACTTCTATAGTTTTATAATCTAATTGATCCAAAGACACTTGTCGTGGATCAAACCTTGGCAAGTTTAGTATTTTCGTATTCCGGAGTTTCCATTAAGAGAAACAGATGCATGACTATATAGGACGAAACCTGTGTTGATCAGGAAAATAGCATCATTCACTTGGGGAAAATAGTCGATTGTGATTGGTCAGTCAGAGGTTTCGAATCAGAATAACCAACTAAATTTATCATTTGAAAGCCCACCCTGTTTATTTGATTTCATATTCAATTTAGCCCCGCCAAATACAATTAACATAGTCCTACATTAAAAACACAGCATGTTTATGTCCTGATTACGCCCTCAGCTTCCTAGTCAGAAGAAAACAGTATAAACTTTGTAGGCGGTAAATATCAGCACGCCAATGTTTGATGGCTTTAAGCAAATCTGACATTCAAGTCCGTTAATTTACACATGTAGCACCATGGTGCTACCAGGTGTGAACACGTGCTAGTCCATTTGTAATGTATGTCTTATTATACATACGGTTGTTTGTCTGTTCTATGACGGCGGTCTGTAAATAATCGAGTCTGGACCAGACAATCCAGTGATTGACATCCGCGCAATTGGGATACGATGACATGCATCAACCAAGTCAGCGAGCCTGACCAACCGATCCCGTTAGTCGCCTCTGACGACAAGCATTGGGTTACTGAAGACCTAATCTACCCCGGATCTGCACGGGTCTATTATATATATATATATATATATATATATATATATATATATATATATAGGGGCGGTGGGATAGCCTAGTAGTTAGAGCGTTAGCTTGTCACGCCGAAGACCCGGGTTCGATTCCTCACATGGGTACAATGTGTGAAGCCCATTTCTGATGTCCTTCGCTTTATATTGCTGGAATATTGCTAAAGCCGGCTTAAAACAACCCACGCACCCATGCTTATTATATGTAGAAAACATGCAGATGCTACGTTAAGTAATTAATCTTATCTTAATAAAAGATGACAGCATTGACAAATACGTCAATAGTGACGGGTTGTTGACAAGCCCTATATATATATACACTCTAGTGAACCCGGATCTTCGCATGTAGAAAAAACAACGTTTATTTTTAAGGTGGAGAGAATAACAAGAATGAACGAAAGGCAGGCATGCGTCGTATGCATTCATTGTCACATGACCACAGCGGAGAGATACATACTCGCATGACATGAGCTAGGCCTAGGGAGAAGGATACAGTTCACGCCGAGTCTAGCAGTGCACGATGACACAGTGTAATACTGGTATCACGGTGGGGGTGATCGCTTCCATTCTGGTGGCGGTGGGTCTAGGAGCGACTCTGTACGTCAGCACGACGGGTAGCGGCAACGGTGGGAATACGACCACCACAACAACGACCCCGTCAACTACAACAGGGTAAGACAGCCATGGTCCCAGGTGTGTGTGTGTGTGTGTGTGTGTGTGTGTGTGTGTGTGTGTGTGTGTGTGTGTGTGTCTCTCTCTCTCACTCTCTCTCTCGATATGTATAGTATTGATGATGATGATGACGATGATTTTGTTTCTTTGCTGCGTTTAGCTAACCGTGACATATTCAATGTGAGCGTATGGTATCTGTCTTGTCCGTCGTCCGTCTATTAACATTGAAACTTAAAATCTCTTTCATCCCATTAGATTTGAACTGATCGGCTTAAAAGTTGTACCCATGTAGGGATTCGAACCCAGTCCTTCGGGTTGACGAACTAACACTTTAACAGCTGATCTACCAAGCATGTATGTGTTAGTGTCGAAAAATGGATACAGAATGAACGTTTTTTCACATTTGCCATGACATGATGACAAGGTTCCTAGCGTGTAGAGTTCGACCAGTGGTTCATCTATAGAGACCCGCGAAGATCCGGGGAAGAATAGGTCTTCAGCAACCCATGCTTGTCGTAAAAGGCGACTAACGGGATCAGGTGGTCAGGCTCGCTGACTTGGTTGATGCATGTCATCGTATCCAAATTGCGTGGATCGATGCTCATGATGTCAATCACTGGATTATCTGGTTCAGACTCGATTATTTACAGACAGCCGTCATAGAACAGACAAACAACCGTATGTATAATAAGACATACATTACAAATGGACTAGCACGTGTTCACACCTGGTAGCCGTCATACAGCCGTCAAATAAACAAACAAAACAGTTACAATACGTCGTGTCGACGGAATGTCGGAGGAATATAAACATGACACACTTAATGAGTGAGTGAGTGAGTGAGTGAGTGAGTGAGTCGGGTTTAACGCCGCTTTTAACAGTATTCCAGTTAAATCACGGCGTGTCAGTTTAATGTGGGAGGAAAGCCCGAAGTGATGCAGGTCTTAGACGTTTACCACTTCGGTGAAACCCACGAGCACGGGTATGGTGCTGATAAACCTAGAAACATAATCGGGGCGAACCGGGATTCGAACCCACAATCATTGGTTTCTGGCGTCCCCAAGTGACGCGACCCTGCACAGCGAATCGCGGCGCCTTAGACGACTGGGCCACCCGTGCCCCCGACACACTTAATGAAACCATGGAGCTAGGGTATGATGCTGATCATAACCGGATCATAATCGGTGTACATATGTGATCCCACAAGCAGCAGATCCGACCGCCTCCGTGGTGTAGTGGTTGGGAGTCTGCCCGGAGGACAGATGGTCGGCTTGGATCACCGGCCGAGTTATACCAAAAGATGGTACTTGTTGTTACCCTGTCTGGCGCTCGGCATTAAGGGGCTAAATAAAACAAGGACTGGTCGGTTCGGAGTCAGTATACTGTTTCTTAATGGGAGATTCTTGTTAAACTGCGGCATGGTGTCTCAGTGGGCTAGCACTATAAAATCGGCATTAATCCGGCCTAGTACAAGCAGACACACACACACGCACGCACGCACGCACGCACGCAAGCACGCAAGCACGCACGCACACACCAGAGCATCCTGGCACAGCTAAGGGACACAATTGTGCATGGCTATTCACGACAGCTTTGGACACGGATTATTGACTAGACCCGCCACACCCTGGAGAGAAACGTTTAGCGACGTTGTCGTGTTGTGTAACGTGGAGCTGTTTACGTGGATGTACCTAGAAGATGTATACTGGATAACGACTGGCTTGACGCTGCACCAGGAAGTGAAGTTGTCGGTGGTGGGTGGATCGGGTCGGGGTAATACAATCTGCGACAGAGCATGACAAACAGAGTAGGTGAGGTGAGGTGAGGTGAAGTTCAACGTCTCGCGCGCGTGCGTGTATGTGTCATACATACAAACAAATAGAAAACAAAAAAAGACAAACAAACACACAAACACACGTGAATGCATTTCGTTATATAAGTGCAACAATATTGAACGCGGCAGTAAACACCATTTCCCCTCACCTTACCACTATATTCCATGGTAGCTATAACCTGACAAATGAAACCACCGAACTATTGTTCTGTTGTTTTTATCAATTGCCGTATTCTACACTACTGCGTGGATGATCAGGCAGGTGCCCATACGCGGGACAAACTAATTAAAAGGACAAACTCCTGTTCACAATCATAAGAAGCATGTGTTTGCGAATCACTATCCAACAGTCACGATAAGGTTTGTTTGTGCTCATTCTTTGTCTCTGCAACTTGTGTCAACGTATCACTGCCCCATCACCACGTGACGACATTTCAGGTCTATGTATTCCCCCTTCATCCGGGAAACGATATTGAGCTCTAGGTATTGCCTTTATCCGAGTAATCGCATTGAACTCTTGGTATTGCCCTTTAACCGAGTAACGACATTGAGCTCTAGATGTTGCCCTTTATCAGGGTAACGACATTGAGCTCTAGATATTGCCCCTTATCAGGGTAACGACATTGAGCTCTAGGTATTGCCCTTTATCAGGGTAACGACATTGAGCTCTAGATATTGCCCCTTATCGGGGTAACGACATTGAGCTCTATATATTGCCCTTTATCAGGGTAACGACATTGAGCTCTATATATTGCCCTTTATCAGGGTAACGACATGTCAGCTCAAGGCATTGCCCTTTCAATCGGATTCAACTCTATGTATTACCCCTTAAATTTGTAAGGACATTTCCGGTAACATCAATTGATGTTTAGGTATAGCCCCTTTATCCAGTAACGACATTCGATGTCTAGATAAAGCCCATTTATGCAGTAACGACATTCGATGTCTACGTATAGCCCCTTTATGCAGTAACGACATTCGATGTCTACGTATAGCCCCTTTATGCAGTAACGACATTCGATGTCTCGGTATAGCCTCTTTATCCAGTAACGACATTCGATGTCTCGGTATAGCCTCTTCAACAGGGTATATACGTCCTTGTCGTGTCATTTTATCCAGTTGGCGGCATATGTTTAATCTTAGTATTGTCCCCTCAGTAAAGTAACGACGTTTCAGAACTCCTTACTTCTTCGTGAGGTTAATCAAGCAGGTTTCCCGTCAATATGTCCGCCAACTTCGAATGAACAATCGATGGTGTCATAGTATTGGCACTAGATTCGCCTTTGTCTGTTTAAGGAACCCTTACCAGACGCCATGCGGGCTCTGTGGCCCTGAGATCGACGTGGCGTTGAGTGTAGTGAACTCCCTGGTTGAGCCCTACTTCAATCATTCCGTTGAACTGTACGGGATGAGACAACGAGAGCTCATCTTCTTCTTGGAGAATGCAGCGAAAAAGCAAAGGGAGTTCAGGTATATGTTTGACGGTGTGAGTACAAAGGACAAAGTCATCCTAGATCCAACTACAAACTTACTCTATATTTATAAGAACTAAATATAAATACCATTAGCCCATCCACTACCATTGCTTCGTAACAACCGATATCCAATAGCCAATATAAGCCTTCCCAATATCCTTCAAACAACGTTGATGATATATTTTAGCCTTGTCTCTGCATATGTGTTCGAAAGCCTTCACTACAGGATAGTGGTTTCATACATTGACACACCAGTTGCCGTGGGTATTGTGGAGGTGCTAAATTGAAAATCTAGCGTCGTTTCAATTGTCATCTATTCTTTCTATACATCAGTGTAATTGGACTAAAGATTATTTCTTCTCTTAAATAAAAGCAATCAAACTCAAAATTATACGAAATCTCTGATGAGAGATATTCTGTTTTGTCTCCATTGTTGCTATTATGTCTCTATTGTTATTTCTATGTCTCTATTGTTGTTATTATGTGTATATTGTCGTTATATTTGCCTCTCTATTGTTGTTATTGTGTCTCTATTGTTGTTATTATGTGTCTCTATTGTTATTATGTGTATATTGTCGTTATATTTGCCTCTATTGTTGTTATTATGTGTCTCTATTGTTGTTATTATGTGTATATTGTCGTTATATTTGCCTCTATTGTTGTTATTATGTGTCTCTCTTGTTATTATGTGTCTCTCTTGTTATTATGTGTCTCTATTGTTGTTATTATGTGTATATTGTCGTTATATTTGCCTCTATTGTTGTTATTATGTGTCTCTATTGTTATTATGTGTCTCTATTGTTATTTTGTGTCTCTATTGTTGTTATTATGTGTATATTGTCGTTATATTTGCCTCTATTGTTGTTATTATGTGTATATTGTCGTTATATTTGCCTCTATTGTTGTTATTATGTGTCTCTATTGTTGTTATTATGTGCAGGTTTGCCGGAAACTATCATGAGAAGTGGGGCTTTTTCATCGACACCATCAATGGATTGAAGGCTGACTTCAATCTGAATAAAACATGGTGGAAGATAACAGATCAGGACATGGTGTCTCTCTCTCTAGGTAAGGTCAGGGTCCATTCGCAGGACGGTGACAAAATTATTTTCACTGATCACTGATCACTACTATTTTCTGGAAATCAGCCATGCAGGTGCCTCGCTAAATTAGGATTAAGAGGGAGGGGGTCGTCTCGTAAGCAAATGGTAAATAATTCAGGGTTCACCAAATTAGACAGACAGACAGACAGACAGATCGTTTATTAATATCTCGACTCAATATATGATCATAAATATACAAGATAAAATACATAAACCATGAGCCGCTCCCTACGGAACTAGTTCTACGAAATACTAACAGAAGTCCAACGTGATATTCATCCTCAATAAAAAATACAATACAATACAACATTCCTCTCAGGTAAAGGAAAGCTATCTTATCTTCCAGTTTCAACTCTTAAGGAGGCAAAACCACATCTGAAAAATGCCAATATGCCCGTCTATTTACATAAAATTCAGTACCAACTTCATTTTTAGAAAGTTGAATATGTTCGAAGCTTATTACCGCCTGTGCCAGTCCTACCATCCGATTTGACACTGCTTGTTTCCATTGGTCATTAAATATACGATTGAGACACAACAAAAAGGAATTTACAATGGTCAAGGCTAAGGTCAGAAAATTTTACATGTACTCTAAAATTCCGATTTCGTTTCTTTTGTAAAACCAAAGCTTGTTTACTCTTAACTCGATTTCCATCTAAATCACACAAGCGCCTGTACAATCGCAGTCAACAACAGTGACATGTCAAACCATATCACAAAAACTATCATTTTCTGCTGCATACAATGACATCATTAATGTTCAATTTAAAAAGTAGGGGCGATAACAAACAGTGTAAGTATACCAGGGTGTATAAAGGCCATAAATGCGTACAGAAATCTGACATTTTTTATAAAGTGACAGCTTTAAACGTATTTCAATTCCCACCAACTTTACTCCATTTATCCCATAGTAATGTCCTATCAATGACAGTCCTATGTCTTTTTAAAATCAATAGCTGTAAAACTGGATTGACGTCGGGACTTACGGCTTTCTATAATAGAAGTCATACAGTCGCGTCCTTTTTTTATTATCATGAATGAGTTTCATTACACGACTTTTTGTATGCTCGCAATGTTCGGGTATTTATGTTAGGTGGACTGTAGGCTAACAATACAATTGAGGAGCTATTCATATAGGAAGAACCATTTCAAGTGTAATTGAAAAGACATGACGGTCAGATATGAATCGTATTTCAATCATTAAAACGCTACCTTTTGAAACACAGATGGTATTCCGAGCTGATTTGTTGTTCAGTCAGTTCGTGTCCTATTTACAGCGATGACTTCAGCATTATTTGTGTTGACAAGAGAGACCATATCGAAGTTCTTGTGAATGTTAACTCTTTGAAAATGTAGCATACTTACAACTTCACACATGCTAATACACCCGTGAAGATCCGGGGTAGACTAGGTCTTCAGCAACCAATGCTTGCCGTGAAAGGCGACTGACGGGATCGGGTGGTCAGGAAGTCGTAGTTGAAGAGAGTATCTAGTAGCATTATTTGGTAGCATTAGTTGTAACATAGCAGTAGTAGCAGTAGCAGTAAACGTAGCAGTAGTAGTAGTACTAGTAGTAGCAGTAAAAGTAGCAGTAGTAGTAGTAGTAGTAGCAGTAAAAGTAACAGTAGTAGTAGTAGCAGAAGCAGTAGTGGTAGTAGTAGTAGTAGTAGTAGTAAAAGTAGCAGTAGTAGTAGTAGCAGCAGCAGTAGTGGTAGTAGAAGTAGTAGCAGTAAAAGTAGCGGTAGTAGTAGTAGCAGTAAAAGTAGCAGTAGTACTAGTAGCAGCAGCAGTAGTGGTAGTAGTAGTAGTAGTCAAAGTAGCGGTAGTACTAGTAGTAGTAGTAGTAGTAGCAGTAAAAGTAGCAGTAGTAGCAAAAATAGTAGCAGTAGTAGTTTTGGTAGCGGGAGAAGTAGAAGTAGTAGAAGTAGTAGTTGTAGTAGTAGTAAAAGTAGTAGTAGTAGTAGTAGTAGTAGTAGTAAAAGTAGCAGTAGCAGTAGTTGTAGTTGTAGTAGCAGTAGTAGTAGTAATAGTAATAGAAGTAGTAGTAGTAGTAGTAGTAGTAAAAGTAGTTGTAGTAGTAGTAGTAGCAGCAGCAGTAGTAGTAGGAGTAAAAGTAGCGGTAGTCGTAGCAGCAGTAGTAGTAGCAGTCGTAGCAGCAGTGGTAGTAGTAGTAGTAGTAAAAGTAGCAGCAGTAGTGGTAGTTGTAATTATTGTAGTCCAGTAGTAGTCGAGGTGTAATTGAGACACTTAAGATATCCAGACGGCCTCTATGAGTGAGTGAGTGAGTGAGTGAGTGAGTGTATTTTGACGTCGCTTTTGGCTGGGTGAAGCATGGCGAAGGCGCGGGCCTCTTTGGTGAATCCCACAGGTGTGATGATGACAGACGGGTGATAGTAATCCGGCCACGTCTTGGACTCGAACCCACGCTCAGCAGATCCTGCTGCATGCTTGGAGATGACGTCACACGGAATCAGACGCTGTCATTTGCCCTAGCTTCTTATGCATGTTTCAACACATTGTGGAATTTTGTTAAATGTTCATCATTCGTTAAGTGAGGTTGCCGTGGACATTATGACTGTTTGGCCATTGTTCTGAATCAAATGTCCAGGTGCAGAATCTTTGGGGACAAGTTTTCTCAGGACTACTGAAGTCACATGCATTTAAATGTGCATGCTTATCTAAGAGATACTGAGGTCGAAAATTGGTTCCTTAATGTATGTCTAGTGTTACGTCCCTTTCTACACATTTTGGGCGGTCAGACCTAAGTGAGAAACTACGTGAAAGTTTAAAGGGTATAAGAGATAGTTACCCAGACTGAACTAACCGACTGCATTCGTCACCACTCGCCCCTTTCCGTAACCTGCAAGAAGACTCGTCCCCCTATCGATGAATGTTATGTGCGAAAATACGACAAATCATTTAGAATGCGCGTATGGTTTCAAGTTCTTCGTCAAAGAATCCCTCAGAAATAATTTCTGTTTTTACATATGTCTTGCATCTAAAAATATACCCAAGACACAGTTAAATGTGTTCAATCATACTGTATAATTTCGCATGTCCTGATGTGCTTTTAATTGCATCTGAAATATAAATGATATATTGGGAAATATATGTGAACCATTGCGCAACGAAATTGTTTTAGGTATGCCCGTTTGCGCTAAGACGGAACCCGGTTGCAAAAATGGCCACAAGAGGGGCACGAGTCGCTATTCGGCTTGTCCCGGAATAACGCGAGTTGGTCACGAATGAACCGACTGGTGCCGTAAAAACGTCAAAAGGTTACGTCCATGATCCATGTTTTTATTATTTACTTTGTGGCTGCAATGGCAACACGTTTTCTGAGTAGCTATTTAAACTCAAATATATGAAAAATGTGATTCTATTTTCAGGGGTCAGTTCCTACGTCCCTCAACACCAGGAGACGCTCATCTTCACCTTTGTGCAGAGCGACGGCCACTAAATCACGGCGAGCCACGGATGTTGCACATGCGTCGTCTTATATGAAATGAGGAATTGTTAGATCTGTGATTCTGTATGTCTGTTTTGTCAATGTTAATACCGACTTCCTGCTATATATAATATATTTTTAAACGACTAAAATGTCTCTGCTACAGCGGAATTTATCTTATTGTGTTAAACGAACGGGCGAACAAGTGTGTGTGTGCGTGTGCGTGTGCGTGTGCGTGTGCGTGTGCGTGTGCGTGTGCGACTTCCATGATATGTCCTCTTGAAATGGAAGATTTGGAATGATTATTAATAAATAACTGTTACAGGCATACTGTCTATCACGCTGTCGGCTTGTACTTGTCCAACTTTAAAGTGGTGGCTCACATCACGTCTGCTCTAACGAGGAAACACTCGATATGTATATGAAACATGACATATTTCCTGGGTTAAAAATTTCGAATTGGAGAGCAGCAATATGTATATTAATGGTTTCCGGTCGCGTGTTTTCTGGAGGAGTCCTTCACATCCGCCGAAATGACTGTCCACTGATTGGTGAAATATGATTTCGATGGCACAAATCAGGACAATTTTGAAAAGAACGTTTGCATTGCATGTGTCGAGTGCATTTATGTCAATCAGCCGTCATAGAAGCGAGTGAGAATGGTTTTACGCCGCTATAAGCACTATTCCAGCAATTTTCATGGCCAGAAATGGACACCAGAAATGGGCTTCACACATTGTACCCATGTGGGGCATCAAACCTGGGTCTTCGGTGTGACGAGCGAACGCTTTAACCACTAGGCTACCCCACCGTCCCCGTTATAAAAAACGTCCTCCAGCGCATGATTTATGTACTTAAAAAGCCAGTGGATCTTTTCTCACTCTCCACTAGAAGCGAGGGATTACAAATTGGACATATTTATTGACATTTTGAGTACGGAATGTGAATTCTGACAGGATATTCAGCTGACAGAATTGGTTTAATCAACATGAACGGGAAGGAGCTCGGATATTGACCTCGGATATTGACTTGCAACAGTAAGTTGCATGATGTACGAATGTGTTCTCACTGGACGGCGAATTGCATTTTAGACAGAGCGGTAGGTGGCAGGGATGGGCCTTGGCTGGGGTGGGAGGATGTGTGTGTCTCTGTGTGTGTGTGTGTGTGTGTGTGTGTTATTAAATGTTGTCTTACATACATAGTCATGATGTCCCAACTCAAATTGTATCGAGACGGTCAAAATACCACCAATCTGAGGCGCACGTAAAATCCGCCATACATCACAATGAATAAATAAAAGCACAAAACCCTTTCCATATTCACAAGAAATCCACTGTACGAATCCGACTATATACTATCAAACAGCGATGACACCAGGTTTTCACGGTAACAGAGCGCAGCCTGCCCCGCACCCGTCACAAACACACGCACAGGCAAGTGAACCGCTCTTCTGAAGTGATACACGGGAACACATAACAAAATAGGGAATTGCAGCCGTCATCATTTTTGTCACTTATGCGCTAAACCCGGAAACGTCCCGCACATGTCTACCATAAGATCCCGAACGGGCCACCGATCGAACAACGTTTCGCATGACCCCGCCCCTCAGCCCCTTGGGGGCCAGCCCCACCATTTGTACAATTTTGAATCCTCACCACCAGGGAATGTCCCAACCATATATGGTTGATATCTATATCTTAGTTCCAGAGAAGAAAACGCTTAAAGCAATATAGCCATATTACCCCGATTTGGCCCCGCCCATCAGCCCCTTGGGGGGGGGGGGGGGGGGGGGTCAGCCCTACCATTTATACAATTTTGAATCCCTACGACCGGAGAATGGTTCGAACCATATATGGTTGATATCTAGCTCTTAGTTCCAGAGAAGAAAACGCTTAAAGCAATGTAGCCATATTACCCCGATTTGGCCCCGCCCCTCAGCCCCTTGGGGGGTCAGCCCCACTATTTGTACAATTTTGAATACCCACCACCTAGGGATGCTTCCAGTCAAATTTTGTTAATTTCCAATTAGTGGTTCAGAAGAAGAAGTCGTTTGATAAAATTGTTGATGTACTGACGACAAGCGGGGGCACGGGTGGACCAGTCGTCTAAGGCGCCGCGATTCGCTGTGCAGAGTTGCGTCCCTTGGACACGCCAGAAACCTATGATTGTGGGTTCGAATCCCGGTTCGCCCCGATTATGTTTCTAGGTTTGTCAGCACCATACCCGTGCTCTCGGGTTTCACCAAAGTGGTAAACGTCCGAGACCTGCATCACTTCGGGCTTTCCTCCCACATTAAGCTGACCCGCCGTGATAAAACTGGAATACTGTTAAAAGCGGCGTTAAACCCAACTCACTCACTCACTCACTGACGACAAGCTCACCTTGGTCCTTCTACAAATCACTTCATACTAGTAGGAAGTGGCGCGTCACAACGAGCTGAAAAGGTACAGATCAACTCATAATATGCATTGGTTCGTTACAGCTGGAGCTGAAACATTGGAGACCAACTCATTATATGAAGTGGTGCGTCACAACTGGAGCTGAAACAATGGAGACCAACTCATTATATGAAGTGGTGCTCACAACTGGAGCTGAAACATTGGAGACCAACTCATATGAAGTGGTGCGTCACAACTGGAGCTGAAACATTGGAGACCAACTCATTATATGAAGAGGTGCTCACAACTGGAGCTGAAACACCAACTCATTATATGAAGTGGTGCGTCACAACTGGAGCTGATACACTGGAGACCAAGTCATTATATGAAGTGGTGCTCACAACTGGAGCTGAAACATAAGAGACCAACTAAAATGAAGTGGCGCATCACAACATGAGCAAAAACATTTGAGACCAATACATGATATGAAGTGTTTGTTTGTTTGTTGTTTAACGCCGTTCTCAGCAATATTCCAGCTATATGACGGCGATCTGTAAATAATCGAGTGGTGCGTCACAACGGGAAATAAAACATTAGAGAGCAACGAATTAAACGAAGTGGTGCATCACTACTGCAACTGAAACACTAGACTCCAACCCATTATATGAAGTGGTGCATCGCAACTGGAGATGAAACATATGAGAACAACTCAATACATGAAGTGGTGCATCACAACTGGAGCTACAACACTAGAGACCAACTCATTATACCAGGAAGTGGCGCTTCTCAAATGATTCTGAAACATTGAAAGACCAACTCATTAAAATAGGATTTTGCATGTCTGAACTGGATCTAAAACATTAAAAGACTAAATCATCGTTAATGGAGGTGGTACATTTCAATATAGACTATAGTTTTGATTTTGTTTTTGAAATGATCCTATGGTAGTGAAACGCAAATCGTTATAAATCTCTACAAAAGTTACTTGCCGGAACGGGTATGCACAACAGAGATCCATAACACGAAATCTTTGCATTGACTATTGTGCTTAATAATGGCCAAACGGAGTCAGTGTATCTGTTCATTTGAACCGGAAGCTGAGAGCTTTTTAATATCTATCAGTATATGTGCTCTTGAGATCAGACTTCCCGACGACCTCAGCTGACACTACAACTGCCTTTCTACGGTAACTGGGGTATCATTGGGTGTGGACAGCACCCGCAACTCATTCTTACACTTCACCATGAATGCGGAAGGTTATACTTTCTCCACTACTCGGAACATTCGGACCAGCAAAATACACCCCTATATCTACTGACCACATTCTTCACAGAGAAAGTCCAGCATAACATGGCTTTCTCAGAATGGAGCCCACATGACCACGGACAGTTGCAATGTGTAACCCATGTCCAGGCACCTTGGTCGTCTAGGTATAACCTACAATTGCAGAAGGACATGCCTACATTCAGTCAACGTCACTGTGACTATAGAAACTATATGAAGTTAAAGTAGCGCCGAGTTTAAAGCATCATATTGAAAAAATATGATTCTGTCTGGAAAAATAATCTGCTTCGTCTAAGTGATGCGTCTCAACTGGACATAAATCATAAAAAACAGCTCATACTAGTAGGAAGCGGCGCGTCACAACTGGAGCTGAAACATTTGAGAACAACTCATTATATGAAGTGGCGCATCACAACTGGAGCTGAAACATTAGAGACTAACTCTTATGAAGTGGTGCGTCACAACTGGGGCTGAACCTGGGCTTGACTGGATTTGGGGGCTTTAACGTCTACTTCACAGTTAATGTATTTCGTAGACGGGGTAGGTGGGGAATGATAAATATGAATACTATTATAAATATAGATAAATCACCATACCCCAAAAAACTATAACTGAAGGGGTAAAAACTGATAACACGTATGTCTATAATGTTTTCATATAATGTATTCATAATTAAGAATGATATCTTTAGTTATTATTACAAGAGAGGGTATAGATGGTTTAATGAATTTGGAAGAGTTGTTAATAATTTAAAACACAAAATTATAGTATGACAACTAAAACAGCTCCTACTACCCTAATATAGTATTAACGATGCATATATATAAAGTATAGCATAATGGGTTATAAATGTATTACAGATAAGCTGTAATTAGATATTGGACCTACTGAAGAAAGAATAAAGGAATAAGAGCCTAGCCTAAGTCTATAATCGCTGGGGTGGGGAGTCGTGGTGGCGAGGTAGGGAAGCGATTATTGCAGTGAGCAGTGTTATCGTGTCCTTGACATTGACATTTGGCTGAGTAATTGATGTTCTTTGTTAGTGTTAAGGATAAGTGGAATTTCGCGCGCGGACGAAGAATACAGTTCGCGCTGGATATTTCGATCCCGATTCTAAATGGGAAAAGGTTTGCTTACATTATGAGATATTGAAGCAGAGTTTATTTGGGATGTTCTAAAATTTGTCCCTGAGTTTAGCATTAAGAAGGAAATTGAAAATGGAGTTGTATATTGCTGGAGGGTTGAATAGTAAGGAAATGTTGTGCTGATAGTGAGATGGGATAGAGTAATACTAGTTGAGGGTGGAAAGTGCTATAAAGTGGACAGCGGTTAAAAATGTGATCTAGATCTGCGGAAATGAGGCAGTTTGTACAGTAACCATTTAGATGTCTGTTTTGCTTAAATAAATTATAGTTAAGATGTGTATTGCCACTGATAATAGGGGATATTATTTTATAAAAAAAAGGTCGAATTGTTAAAAATTGTGGCATTTATAGATAGG